GGGGGGGGGCAGGAGAACAAAGTCAGAGGCAGCTGGGCAGGGGAAAGGGGGACCCAGGGTGGGCAGAATCCGAGGGGAGGTCAGTGGAGTTGTGGGGTGTCCAACGAGCCTGTGCCAGGCCAGATCCAGCTGTCCTACGCCGTGTCACACCATGCCATGTTGTGTTATCCCATCCCATCCCTTCCTATCCCATCCCATGCCAGGAGAGCAGCTGGAGCCGTCCAGTGCCACACACAAAGCTCTGCCACCCCATCTGCTGCCTCACTACAGACCTCCCTCTCCCAGCAGAGCTGGTGCCCTGGTGCCACCCCCGCCCTGTCCACACACCCGACCTCAGGTGTCCCCACCCCAGGGATGTCACCTCGGAGCCACGCGCAGTTGTATTTGCTGTACACGCCGTGGGGGCGGAGCTGGATGTGGGTTTTGTCCCCTTGGTGGGTGACACTGGTGACATTAAAGGTCTCGAAGGGCGGGATGAGGACTTCGTCCTCCCAGGGCATGAAGGAGAAGTCCCGGATGGCGGCACCATGGCAGGTGTCCAGCTCGAAGAAGGTGTCGGTGCCGAAACTCTTGGCAACCTCTTTGCTCAGGGAGGCAGAGGTGAACTGGCCAAAGCGGACGATGTCGCCGGGCTGGGCAGTGAACCGGATCCCTCGGACCCCCCGGTACACGTGGAGGCAGCGGGGGTGGGTCTGGGCATCCCGCAGGTCATCCAGGGCCTCGGTCAGCAGGAAATGCACCACCTTGAAGTGAAATTTGTCCAGATATTCCTGGCGGGACTGCCCGGCCAGAGGCACAGCCCTGTTGAACTCCTTGTACAAATCTGTCTCCAATGTGTATGCCAGGAGGGCAATGGCCTCTTCCTTCCAACGCAGAGACCCCAGGGATGGGTGGCTGTGCCATTTGACGGTGGCATCATCCCAGGCCTTGGAGTAATTGCTGTTGGGGCCAAGCTCGGAGCGGTTGAGTGCCAGCAGCTCCTCCACCAGTTCGTCGCTGCAGTCCTGGTACTGGTCATCGAAGGCATTGGGGGCCATGTCCAGTGCCATCTCCTTGATGCCGGTGGCTGAGGTCACGGCCAGCAGCACCAGCACCAGGAGCTCCATGGTGGGCAGAGACTCTCCAGGGCCCCCCGGGCACTGTGAG